TAAACACCACTGCACTTGGACCAACCTGTACACATTTTTAATTAATAAAAGGTCTTATTCTTTCAGTACAACAGCACTCAAACTTTAGTGTCTAACAATTACTTGGAGAATTACTTTAAAATACTGGTTCCAGTATTTCTGGATTTGTAGTTCTTGGATGGAGCAAAGGAACCTACATTTTAATAAGAACCGTAGGTCCAGAGTATACTTTGAGAAACACTAAAGTTCAATCATTTTAAAGGTTTCACATTATGTCTACAGGGGCCTCCAGTTAAGAGTAAGACAAACATACTGTAAAGTATGGATTTGCAAACTGTAATGTGCATCAGAATCATGGGGAAAGCCTGTTAAAATGCAGACTTCTTGGCTCCATTCTCCAGAGACTCTGAGGTCTAGCAATTTGAACTTCTAAACAGGTGATTTTTTTTTTTTTACTTTTGGAACACAGACTGTGATGACAGATTAAACCCTTAAGATCAAAGAAGGAAATCTTCAGAATCTAGACACTGAATTCAACATTACATAACCACCTCCTAAACACTTAGTGAAGTCTTGTTTTGCAAGAATCTCACTCTCACCTGTATTTTGGAGCAATGCTTCATCTTGTCCTCCTGAGGTATGGTATTGGTGACTACTACTGCTTCAAAGCATGCGTTGTTGATGCGAGAAATGGCTGGACCAGAGAAGATTCCATGAGTCAAGATAGCATAAACTCTGGTGGCTCCAGCTGAGAGAAGTCTAGAGGAAAAGGAGTTCATTTGGATTAATCTTACTTGTCACTACAGAATCTGAGTCAGGGAGAGGGAGTGTATTAGTCTGCTTGGGCTGCCATAATAAAATGTCATACACTGGGTGAGTTAAATATCATTTCACTGTTCTGGAGGCTAGAAGTCCAAGATCAAGGTGCAGACAAGGCCTTTTGTCTTAGCTTATAGGTGGCTGCCACCCTGCTGTGTGCTCACATGACCTCTTCTTGTGCGTGGGCACAGGGAGAGTACCAGCAAGCTCTCCAGCGTTCTCTTCTTGTAAAAGCACTAATCCCATCGTGAGGGCTCTGCCCTGGTGACCTAATCTAATACTAAATACCTGCCAAAAGTAATCTCCAAATATCATCGCATTGGGGGTTGGGGCTCAACATATATGAATTTTAGAAAGACACAATTCAGTCCATACCAAGGAGAAAGAACAGCACTAAAATCTTACCTGAATAGGTTTAGATTACTGTAAAAGGACTCTGGCACAGACATCAGTGCTTAACAAACTCCATCTCCTCTTCTCCCTAGGCATATAGCTGACCTACATTTCCCAGCCTCCCTTGCATAGCTCGGTGTGGCCATGTAGCTTAATTTTGGCTATTGAAATGTGGGCAGATACAGATATATACCACTTTGTGGCTGGATTTATAAAAATCTTCCACGAGTGATCCTCTGTGTTCTTTTCCCTTTCTGGCTGGCCAGAATGGAAATGTCTTCCAAGGTAATTTTGGAAGCCACATGTTAAAGATATAGCACTACAAGATTGAAAGAGTCTACATCTCTGAACTACTGCTTAGAGAAAATGAGTCCAACCAGGAATACTTGCATTGGAGTGTGCCATGGACATGGAAAAAACTGTCATGTTAAACCACTGACATTTCAGGGTGTTGACCTGCTGCAGCAATTAGTATTCTCTTATTAACACAAGGGTGAAATGGGTTTATAAACGTAAACTCCAGAATCCAAGCCTGGAATCATTCAGCACCCAAATATTTTGCAGGCACTGTGCAAGGCTCAGATACTTGGAGTTTTAAAAAGACTGTTCTCATTAAAACAAAAAGCTATAAAACATAGGGTACTTGG